ATCACTGTTACACATACACCTTAATGTGTCACTTTTGTTTGTGTAACAGCTCACTGTGCCCCTAAGTATTAAAGCACTTAAGGCAGTGTTAACAGAAAAGGCAACTTAAATATCAGCGGTGGTAGTCAGAGTTAATACCTAGTTGAAGAGGAGATGAAGCACTGTACTTGTCTGAAAAGAAGGTACGTGTGTTTTTATACAGCACGTTTAATGATAAGATTTGATCAATGATTTAATTTGAAATGTACTAATAAGGATGTTTAGGTGGGGTTTTGTTTGACTTTTAGATGACATTTTAAGTTAATTTATGAGAATTAGTTCGGGAAAGTGTACAGAAGAGTTTAATCAATGGTGTGTTCTTTGTTTTCTTACATTTTTGAATGCATAAATACATGCAAAACGCTCCAAACTAATCTTTCCGTTCCTGTAGGCCTCGCTCTTAGTATTAGGAAATAAGTTGTTCCAAGTTTACAGAAGAGTAGGTTTCCCACTTTTGTAAACCCTTTCTCTTTCCTCTTGTCCTTTTAAAGGTCTCCAGCGAGGACACCGCTGCTTCGCTGCACATGAGTGTCCTGTCACTGGTAGTTCAGGTTGGACAGGAGATGAAAAATGTGTGGCTCCTGGAGAAATAACACACTCCAAACACTAACGACAACAACTGCTCCCGGACTGTGGACGCAGGATCTCGGACTTTCAGAAATGCAGGTGTCATAGAGTTTGGTGGGAAGTTTTTACTAAATCACATCACTGTGTGCCACTGTGGACCCTGTCCATTCATCAGCACCGGGATGATGAGAGTTCCAAACTCCCATCAGGATGTTTGCACAGAGGATTCCACCAGTGCGTCATCTAATGATTTCAAACAGACCTTATCACCTGCTAAGGGATCAGCGCCGAGAGATCCAGGAAAGAAGATGTTTGTTAAACAACAGAGCCACTCAGAGGGCAAGTTAGAACCAGATGTACTCGTTGCCTCCCTAATGAACCTGCCCTCAGCGCCTGTGTACCGCTCATGTGTCCATTATGAAGTACCTCTGAGGTTTATAAGCTCTGTTGTGTGTTTAGACAAGTTATTATCCATTTCCCTGCTGGACCCTGGTGAAAAGGAAGAAAGTAAAACAGCTTTCTTCAAATCCACTCTGTCTTTACGTCTCGGTGTCTCATCCTACTGCCGATGCACCGACGCTACCAAAACAAACGGTGTTCATAGGGCACACCGAGCAGCCAGGTTGGCCACTCACCGAGAACGGGGTTCGGGCTTCCGCTGTAGCCCAGTGTCAAAGCAGCCGGGCTCGGGGCTAGTGAAGAATGTGCACACAAATGGTAACAAGCCTGGAGGTTTGAACACACAGGACCATGAACCGACTTCAGATTTATTGTTATTCAAAGAGCCAGGTCCCTGGAACACAAAGGAATACAGGCAGCAGGGGAATGCAGATGAGCCAACATTCACCTCCCAAAGCAATTTCAGACACAGACCCCACACGTTCAGTGTTGGCCCCGGTATGAAATTCATCATCTTCCTCCAGAAAATGTAATATATTGCGATCTTCACACGCCGGCTGATCTGCTGGTTCCTATTAATGACTCATGTGGTCTATAACCATAGAGTTGGAGATCACATTTCTGATGTGGAGAACTAGACTTCAAATCACCGCGACTTTAATCACATGGACACTTAAACCTGTGTCTGTGATTAAAACCTACATTATGCTGTTTCTCATGCATTGTGAATAAAGTAAATAAAAGTAAAGTTATAAAAAATAAAGACTGAGTATGGTCGATATTAACTTCTGGCCAATATCCAATATACTGATATAGTCTTAATTTCCGATTACGATATCAACCGATACTGGAAATATTCATTTATTTATCTGTACAAACCACTGTATGAGTATTAGATATATGAGAATTAAATGGGCCGCAATGCTGCTATCTAGTGACTTTAACTTTAATATACAGCCGTTTATCTACCAAACTATTTTTAGAGCACACATCATTTGGCAAAACCCAGCTATGGTATTATCGGGTTTTCATTATCGGAGGAAAAACCGATAAAGATTCTTACAGATATTATATTATATATAATATGCTAATATCGGTCGGCCGATATTATCGAACATCCCTAATAGAGACCCAAACCTTCCACGCCACAAGTAACAATACTGATGTTAGGGTAACTTTGCAGCTCACCTTATTCAGTAGACACAAGAATAGTCATGCCTGAGTAATATTTATATAACCATAAATGACATTATTATCAACTTTCAGAAGTGAATTTAGAAGCTTCCAGAACGATGGGCTGGATTCATTCATTGAAAATCCAGCATATCCTCTGCTGTACCTGACACCCAGTCAGGAGGCTGGTGCAGCACCTGCTGTTATCACAGACAAAACGATCAACATAAAATGCCCCTGCCCGTGGTTCAGTGTCTAAACTTCCTGTTTTCACTGAGCTGTCACAGAAAAGAAAAACAACTTTCTCTCTCTCCAACTCTCTCCAACACCAACCGTTTGCGTCTCATCACAGTAATGACCCTCGGTGTGACGTCTCCCTTTTTACTTTTTGAAATCATTTATTCCGGTGCCCAAGGGGCCAGGCATTACTGTAAAAATACATCCACACACACTGACAGCAGTTTTCATATGTTGCTCGGGGCATGTGATAATAAACACGGTGTGTGTGTGTCCACTGCATTGTCATGACACGATATTCACAAGAAATACTGCGTATGGTCCAGTGAAGATTGCAGTTATGGGTGCAGGATGGATGCAGTGTCATCTTCTACATTATTCATAGGCTACACTCATGTTCCCTCTGGGTTTTCTCCTCAGTAAGAGCAGTGGGGGAAGTGTGGCTGACTGTGTGCAGTAGGAAACCGTTGGGGACAGTTTGAGTCTCCCCAAAATATAAAAGCTTCAATAGAAAACTTGGCTAACATTTATTTCATACCCTTCAAACACTAAAGTCTAGAAAACGACAGCAGAACACATAGCAAGTTTTGTTTTTCCAGTGGAGAAAATAAGAATCATCTCAAACATTTCACAACATTCCTCTGTCTCCCTCAAGATGTCTCCAGGACAGCCAGCAAGAAGACGGACAGCAGGATAGGGCAGAGCTGTCCCCAAATATTCAGAGACATCTCCAACTTGGACGAGACATGTGATTTCCTATCGCCACGGAGGGACGAGTATCCGGACGCCTTGTCCAAAACTCTGAGTCTCAAAGTAAGCGCCACATTTCTCAAAGCTTTTCTCAATAATTGATGTAACGAACACTGCTCAGTTTGACAAAACACAGGTACCTCACCACCCGCAGGTTCAGCTGTTGTTAGGATGACAATAATACTTTTAATGAGGTAACATTCGCTGCATTTAAGTAGCTCCTCCCTCCACACGTCTCAGAGAGGAGTGTGGGAAAAGACTGTTCATTTCGTTGTATTTAACGGTGTGGCTGATGGTCTGTGGAACAGAGGAAGCTCAGCCTGATACACAACCTTTCATCCACCTATAATGTCGTCCTGAGTTCTCTCCCCCGAAAATTCGACCCCCTCCCGTTTCATTTCAAAGGACACCCAGCCAAAAGTGGACTAATATTTTGATTTTCACTATACACCAGGGGTCACCAACCTTTTTGAAACTGAGAGCTACTTCAAGCTACTTCACAAAGAGCTACCTGTTTGATACAGACTTCCCAAGCATTGTGACAAATTTATGGACTCTAAGTCGTTCCGGAGTACAAGTCACACCTGACAGCTAGAGTGCCCTCTAGCGGCTGGCATTGTGAAAATATCGAACATGTGAAGTTATATATTTTAATATATAAATCACACCTGTGTATAAGTTGCAAACCCAGCCAAAGGATGAAAAAAAAAAAGCGAGTTATAGTCCAGAAAGTACGGTAATAATAATAAGTCCTTGGAGATACAATAGTACACACTCTTCTTACCATCGTCATTGCACCCATTTGAATATAACTTCAAGTGGAACTGATTTAAAAAGAACAGCAACAGTTCAGTTTTTGACACTCTTGTTAACTAGTTTTAGTTTAAGAACATACCCCGCGGACATCTTAGGGAGTCCACGGGTGCTACCAGGTGCCGCTGGTGATTTATTTATTTGTTCATTGCAGTCTACAGCAATCCAAATTAAGGAGGCCGCTGTTTGAACAAACCTTTGAAATGACTACGTTCTCCCTTGGCCTCTGACAGCCACAGCATCTGTGCACAAACTGGAGTGAAATCCATTTGCTGAGATGCTGATGGTGCAGAGTGTTTGTCATGTGTTGAATACTGTACTGTGCATAACTTTCAGGAACAAGTGGCTCTGTTCTCCATTTTAGGTATTTTGTGCTGATTCAAGTGAAATGCCAGTGCAGGTGATGAACCTGAGGTTTCAACTTCCTGCTGCTCCTTTTGATCCTTTAACAGCAAGAAACATAGAATAATGTTTGACAGATATTCACTGCCCATCATTTCATAAAGTGGGGAATTGACACTGACATCATCAATCTGTTCTGTGTTCAATACAATACAATACAATACAAACTGCAACATGAAACATGTATTTCCAGTTTGGGTAAAAGGTAGAATTTAAATATTTTACAAGGACAAATGCATGTATCTACCATCAGGATGACTGTTATCAGAACAGACACAGAAACTTCTGTGGCATAACCATTCTTTCTGTCTGACATATCTTCTGCCAACTAGAAACACTGAGGATATTTTTCTTTCTCTCTCATCCATTAATCTAATTGGAGTGAGGAGCGAATATCAATATATCAAGGTTTGTTAGTTTTTCTAAAGCGTTCGTGTTCCCTGACAGAGGAAAACTTTCATTTTTACATGCAGTATGCATGAGCATATAATTTCCCTCCACCTCGGTGCTATTACAAGAAGATTTTCCAAGGTTAAAGAATGGATTCTAGCCCAGTGGAAATCCTTTTTTTTCTTCTATTACCTCTGGATTAGTGTCTGCAAGTTGTAATGTATTCTCACCAACAAGAAGCTTGTGTGTTTATCCCCCTCCCACCCTCAGGAGGCTCTGGAGCTCTTTAGGCCAGACTTCATCAGTCGATCCCAGGGTCGGGTGAGGAGGCTGGAACAGAGAGCCAAGAGAAGGAGAGCGCTGCAGGGCTCCAATCCAGACCTGGTCCAGGGCCTCGGGGAGGATCAAGGCAGGCTGAAGAGAAACTGCACCATGCCTGATCCACTTAGTGGTAGGTACATGTGAATAATTACACTGGCTGTGGTTGCCTCCCCAGCTGGAGAGCCAGGGTGTCTGTGGTAAGAATTAAGGAGATACATGTTTTGTTGGTGTCATCATCATCATCACGGCAGCAGGATTTTAATCTAATGGCCTTAGCTTTAGTCACAACTTTCATATAATCTGGTCAGCAGAGTGGTTTTATAAAACAACAGTGACAGAACATTCAATATTCATGAAAAACAGATAAATCTGTTTTTACTGAAGCAACTATTAACTATAAACTAACTTTTTTCTAATATCATGAAATATAATTTTATTAAAAATATTATTTACCCTCTCTCGATAACCGGTCACTTTAGCTCGTGTGCACACTTGCTAATGACCAAGTCACAGATTCGACTCATAACACATGGTATGTACACCTGACTGAGTCTATATTTACCGACCTGTAGTAAAAGATAAAGGTAAAGGATATACACATTTTGCTGGTGTCATCATCAGGATTTATTCTACCTGTATACGCGTAAATCCTAATCTACCACAGATATGATGCGCCACCTACTGGCCTAGCATGTCATAGCAACGTAGCGATGTGAGCGTCATCGAATGATGAAATTAAACAAAAAAACCCTCTATAGTTGCAGGGAAAGCGGATTATTTTTAAATACACAACGAATCTCTTCCTTGTGATCACTGACGTGTGGTTTACTGTTGCATTTTTAAAAACAACAACAACTTAAAAGTGAGGCGGTCTCCCACTCAGAAGGTCAGAGGTTTAAATTGTAAGACTGAACAGACCAATAACTTTGATTAATGGTAGTCCTAGTAACCTACATAGAATAATAATAAATAAATAAATAATGCTTATTTTATAACATTTTTTAAATAACAACATCAGCATCCCTGGGGTAAGAGAATGTCACTTGAGGGTTCCCTTTAACTGTAAAGGAGTAATGGGGGGGGGATACTGTGCAGTGGTATTTGCTCAACTTTACCACCTTGTGGAAAATGTGAAGAACTACAGCTCGGTCAAAGTAATATCCGGTCTCCAAAGTGAATACATCTTCAATATTCTAAATTCTAAATTCACTTAAATCAACCAAAGGTCAAGTTATGATTTTTATAATAATATGTCTTATCTTCTGACATAAGTTGTTGGTATCAATAATAGTATTTGGATTTTAAAAATATAAGTTCGAGGTCAACACCTTTCTTTTATTGTTGAGATTAATCCAAGTTTTAAAATGATATATAGAAGGTATTGAAGTTTACTGAAGTTCATATTTCTTTCTATTTAAACTCTGGAATTATTTACTACCTCCACATTTAGACATTCATGAAGATGTGAAATTGAGAGTAATTGTAAAGACAGCAGCTGATTTTAAAGGTCATCACAAAAATAGGGCATTGGAAACTGAAAGGCTCACACTCAACAGGAAGTTCAGAGGTCATGACCTGACCCAGGAGTATGTTATTATTATGTAAGACGTGTGTGTGTGTGAATATTCAAGTGCATTAAGTAGTTCTCACAGGGCAAAGTGATTACACACAGACCAGTTCTCATTTACATTTTTAGGATTCATTTACATACTAATCCTGTGTGCATTTGTGTGTGTGTGTGTGTGTCAGATAACCTTTTCAAGCCCAGAGAGAGGTCTATATCAAGCAGAGAAATGCAACTGAGGTCCAGACGGTGAGTCTCATAGACCAAAACCACATTAAACGATAACACTTTAATGTTTCTTTTTTTCATGAAAACACAATTTTGATCCAAAAAGTCATGAGAAATGATATGAGACCATGTCCCAGTCCTTATCATTTTCTTCCTCTTATCTGGAATGGCACACCTGATTGGACGATGACTCTCCATTGTTAACTTTTAAAAGCTACACTATCTGTCGCTGACAATCTCTAGACAAAAAAGCTGCGGTCATGTGACTGAAAGGTAATCCTTTGTGAAAGAGTTATTATTGAAACAAGGATTTGGCCGGCTGTGGTTGTCGGCTCAGTCACCCTAAACCTTTCTTTGTATGAGTTTGCCTTTTTTCCCTGTTTCTGCAGGATATACAACAAGCTGCCAGAGGTGATGAAGAAAAGAGAGGAGGAGAAGAAGAGGACAGTGACACAAACCAATAGGTTGCGAGCAGAAGTTTTCAAAAAGGTCCTCTATTTTCATGCAAAAACAAACAACACAAATACAACAGTAATCGCTTTTAGGCCTTTATGCAGGAGCTACCAGTGGTGTTTAGAATTCTCACTTTATTTTTCCTTTAAGGTGTGTTCCATGAGCTATCTATTGTTAATTGAAAAAGAAAACGTAGTTTGGTCATTTTCCAGCAGAGGTCACTGTTTGATTGTTGAAGCTACACACTAAACTTAGCACGTCTACTTTTGCACGAACCATTTATCTCAGTGTGTACTGTATATATATGTAAGCGTTTATATACAAACATATTTATCATTTAAAAGCATCATTTAAAAAGCATAAAAATTATTTAATTTGTAGTAGTGGAACCTGAAAATTAGTTAATACAAAAACAGATTTACTCCCAAGTAAATTAAAAACTAAAAGGTGAAATGCATTAAAAGTCATGTTCCACTGGGACATCCCATTCTGCATTTTTCAGTTTTGGGAGTTTAATTTAATTTATTATTTGCCAGAGATCTGCACAGCAGGCAGGTCGATAAAGTCAATGTTTGTCTATATTCTTTGATGGATCTGTCATAAATATTAGTCTGCATCATCATTTATAGATTTATAGAACAGTCATTGGCACAAATAATATTTTACCCTGAAATGAAGATGACATTTGAATCCATGGCCACAGAACAAATGTCCAATGTCCTCCATTTATAATGGGTTAAAAACAAAGCATTATCCCGCTCCAGATATCCTCAGTCTTTGCTGCTGCCGGTCACGTGCCTCTATAAAAGATCTGCCAACCCTCTTAAGCCTGAAGGTGGCAGTGCAATTTGCCAAGTAGACAAGGCCTAATTTCTCCTTCCGTCTGTTTTTGGACAGAAAGATGGATAATTAGAGCCTTGTCCACTTGGCACGATGGGCTGCCACTAGGGGGTGGGCTTATAAATGTTAGACAGTGGCACAGATTATATAAAACCGGAGATCTGCATTTAATGGGCATACGTATTAGATAAAAGCTAGTGGTTAAAGTAGGACACTAGTGAAGGACGCCTTACTCATCCTGAAGTGCCTGTCATTCATAACAGAGTTTTCTTTTAAGGGAAATCCAACACAATTGGCTTTTCCTTTTTATATCTGCTTTTGTCATTTTACGAATTTATATTTCCCAATTAAATACTGTAAGACCTTTTATAATCAGGGATAAATGGAGCAGACGCAGCTTTAATGAAGCTGGTGTGACCTTCACAACACACAAATGGACAGAGCCAACGTACACTACAGTAGTAGAAATACAGAGCTGAATCTAGAAACGATTCAGAATAGGCAGGCCAATGCAGAATAGAACCATTCTGTCTGGCACGCAGCTGAAATGACATTCCAGCTGCTGGATGTTACTGTAAGAGGGGAAGGATTGCATAGCAGGGTGTTTGGTCTGATAACATGTTTGAATTATCCCCCCTAACTGGGCTTAGCCACCTCAGGAGTGAGCTTGATGGACGTGAAAGCCAATTTAGCAGCAGGTGCCCCTCCCTGCCCCCACGGTGTTTTGCAGAACTGCTCTGAACACTGTGAAGCGAAGGCCGCTCAGATAGAGTGCAGATAGATGTGTTTTGTTCCTCAGGGCATGTTATCGATAACATTGTTTTTCTTGTTTTCCAGAGACTGCTGGACCAGGTCCTGCAAAGATAAAGGGGAGGCAAAGCACAAGGGGGCTCGCTCACTTAAAGTTTTTCTTACTGTATTATTGCATCTCTACATCCCTCTAAAGTATTTATCATGATAACTTCCTGTGAATTAATGTGGACTGTTGACATATATATGTTGTGTGTTTTATTCCTGAAATTTAAGTTTTGAAGGCAACCCTCAACACATTCTACAAGCCACAACATGCACAGTTATAAAAAATCCACCGAATCTTTGAAACCTAATTATTAGGGATTTTTGGTAGGATTTGGAGTGATACTGTACATTTGAATAATTTTCTTGACATTTTTCAAAATTGTAATTTCCATCAGTTTGACAGATAAAAACATCTACCTGCAGTCATTTGTCTTTCTGTTCCAACAATATACAGAATTTTTTTGTCATATTTAGGAATGACAATGTATCTTGATTAATCATGATTTTACATAAGTGTATTACAATGTTTTTTCATATTAAAATACGGGACCTTGGCGCGTCCTCAGAGGCATTAGTGGTCCCCATCGATATTTGCTGACAATTCCTTCTAAAAAGTGTTTATGATGTTGGGAGTGTGTGCTTTTTAGCTAATTGAATGTTGTGCAGACACTGTAGAAACGTGACGGCCGCACATCACTGTTAATTATAAAATGAGAAGGGCCTGAAATATTAATGTAATGTCATTAATCTCTCCAGCTGAAGAGGAAATCAATGCAGATTAATGGTGTAATTTGGCTAATTTTATTTCCCAATGATTTAAGGTCTTCCGTACATTTCTCCTCTAACGCACATCAAGCATCTGAGAATGAAATAAAAACCATTTCCGAGATGTTTCTTTGCTGCATACTGCGGGATTTTCCTGAGAAATATACTGTAGGAACATCATGCAAAGCACCTTGACATTGTCAATGACACAGTATAATGTAAAGGAAAGAGACAGAGAGAGAGAGCGAGAGAGAAGAAGGATGGGACTATTTTTTATCCTTGGCCTCACATCTGCCTAAGGCTTCTGGAACCTCCCATCCGGAACACTGGAATTCCAAGCTAATCGAACTCAGGAGACGCACAGCGCCTGTGAAAGGAGTCCTTGTCATGAGACTCCAAATGAGAGATGACATTGTAATAGGAGAGGAGGTTTGTGAGCCCTGCCTGGGATCTCAGTCCACATCATGGTCCCGAAAAGGTGACTGACACCAGTCTGCTGGGACCAGAGATCAACAGGGGGACACAAACACTGTAAATAAGTTGTCTTGTAGGATAGGTTTGGTGAGTGACATTATACTCTGTAGTACAATACTCCAGCTATAGAACAATTTCATTACGTTACTGGATTTATTTTTTTTTTTTCTAGCATGAAAGCCTGAGGATGTACCTTCTGAATATTAAACACCATACAGTATGCAGTCAACAGACCAATTTTGACATCTAAGGTTTTTTAAAATTGTTTACAAGTACAGTAATACCTCGAGATACGAGCATAATCAGTTCCAGGTCCGAGGTATCTCAAATCATTTTTCCCATAAGAAATAACAGAAAAAAAACATTCCATTCCATCCATTCTGGCCCTCTAAACAACTCCCTTATTGGTGCTAATAACATGGAAAAAAACATGTTTTTAATTGATATAGATACACACAAAAACTTATATAAGGATTCCTGTGATATAAAATAAAATGTGGTTTTAATTTCTTCTTCAAGTTCTTACCTTCAAGACAGACGATACAGTAGCGGCTAATGGCGGCAATTGCGGAGGGAGGAAGGGACGGAAGAGAATTGGCCCGTACGTAAACACTTGATTCCGTAACGTACCTTAAACGTACACTACGTAACTTAAATAAACTTATTTTTTTAGCGGACACCACGCTCATACTTATCGACAATTTCTTGCTTTATTTCCATGGTCATCATGCGTTTCTTCTTCTTCTGCCATCCTTACCACTCACTCTCTAAGGACTCATCACTATTGAAGGATAATGCACAAAATAGAGAGAAAATCACGATAGATAACGCAAACACAATACGGAAGACTCACGGGATATGCGTCCGGAAGTCGACGAATGAGGGTGCTGCTCCGAGTGCTGAGCCACCTAGCGTTGGCATCTGTAAATAAAAATTAAACACTGAACAGCTGAACAGAAAGTAAGCAGAATTTCATGTGTTTTTGAGTACTAGTAAAAGTATTTGAATGAAGTATCAGGGTCAGATGCGGATAATGGTATTAATATGCTATTACACTGTTTTACGTATATGTATATACACAGTATACAGTACAGTGGGTGGTTCTCAATCCCTCCATCAATATTAAATCAATTTATGCAAACTGCATATGAGGTTTAATGATTGCGGAGCACACACATAACAACCTACTGTTATAGGTAATAGTGGAGCTGAGGAGCAGGTGGTAATAGTGATACAAAGAAATGAGAGAAAAGTAGAAATATATTTTGGGCATCTACTGGTCAGAGCTAAAGGTGATGGGGAAGGGTTTTTGAAATATTTATTGAGTTTTTTATCTCTTGGACTCACAAAGAAGTGAGTGTTCAAAGGCTGAAAATGGCTTTTGTTTGTCTTCAGAGGTGAGGTTGGGCTGTCCATCGACTGCCTGGGAGAAATGCCATCTGTTGTCATCAGCGAAGATACGGAGGATCAAGGGAAATGCTCTGCTGGTTTTTACGGAGGTCCGTAAAGAATATAGATGGGTATAAAAATACAACGTGGAAAACAACAACCGGGCTCCGATTTGAATGCCGGTTTACTTTTCTGTCCTCCAAACGGATCACAAGTTCCAAAAATAGACCAAGTACTGTTGATGTTGACAATAAAAGAAGTGCATGAATGTGGTAATGGCATTATCACATTCCTCATTTAACTTAAATCGTCTTTAATCTGGGCCTGTGGTGTTGAAGAGTGCAGCCACAGACGTTTGTTATTCATATCCCAATAATGGTATACAGTATAATTATGTACATCATATACTGTATCATCATTGATCATCTGTCTAACTTTAAAGGATGATAAATATTAATGTATTCGGTGTCATGTCTCAACATGAAGGTCATAAATGTTTACCCCCAGCCCTGATACAGAACATTAATTTATATACTTTTTTCACCATTCTTCAATGTTAAGGTATTCAAATAATAGGTTCATACATTCATGTTTTTATTTTAAAAATGAACTTTGTAACTTACCTGCTGTACCTCAGTTGACCTCCTAGGGGTTGTGGGCCAACTGTTGAAGACCACTGCTTTAATTAAAAAATGTATTTGACATATGTGTGGCCTTAATGTTACTGTGGTGGATCACAGCAGCTATGGGTTGCCAGTTCAATTACAGCCTTGGTAGGTTGTACTGTATGCCATGTTGCGCGAAGTCTACAGTAATGTCCTGCTGTAGCAGCCTGCTTCACGTTAGAATGTAAAAAACATATACAGTAATCATCCTCGTAACTCGTTAGCTTTGCAATTGTTGTGCAATATTTCCACAAACATCAGGCGCCATTGTTGAGCATAACCTGTCGGGCAGTAGGACCCAGGGCAGTCCGAGCGCACATGGCACACTGTGAAGGCTCGGCTGCAGGAGGAGATGGTTACAGTCCAGCTCTCCAACATCTTCCCACTCTGTCTGTGCGCTCCTGTCGCTCTCTGTCCCACTCACTACCGACATCCTCTGCTGCAGCCCCTCACCTCCGTGCTCTTCCATCTCCTCCTCTCACCCATGCCTCCTCCTGCCTCCCCTTCACTCATCGCCTGGAACAGAGCGTCTGCAGTTGGAGGCAAAAGTTTTTGACATGACATCTGCTTTGACGGAGTGACAGCCCATAGTATCTCACTCCCGTTGAAGGCCGTTCTGCATGTGAGGGACTAAGTCGACTCTTCACGCTGACCTTCTCTGACCTGCGCCTCCATCCCGTGAGCAGCATCTGGTCCTGCAGCGTTTCTGATCTGTGTGGCCGAAGCTGAGATCCATCACCATGAGAGTCTGGAGGCGGCGGAGCAACTTTGGCTTTCTCTTCCTGGCTCTCTGGTCCCTGTCTACGGCCAAGGAATATGCTGACATAAAGCGTAAGTAACAGTGAATGAGATCATGTATAATAATATCAGTTATTGTGATGGGGAAACAAATAATTCTCAACAAGTTAAAATGGAGTTTGTGATTGTCGTGAATGAAAAAGGAATTATGACTTTACGCCAGGAGCTGAATATACAGCAGTAACACTGTGATTCTCTGTGATTTATGTTCCCGTGCCACTTGGGGGAGCTCTCCTCTTTGCAGTCATTCTGTCAATTGATTCACATGATTATTCTGCAAAAAAAAAAAAAGGTTAGTTTGGAATTTTGTACCCCGAGAAGTTCTTGCTGTATCTTTACAGTACACCTTTAAGCACACGTGGTTGATTAAATATGCAGACATATGTGTTGTACAAACTCAATAAACCATGTGTAAGCAGGTTCTTACCAAGCAAGTCCTCTGTACGCAAGCGCTAGAGCGTTGTTTCCCAAGCAGTGGGTCGTGGCCCAATGACAAGTCGGAAAAGTTCATCATTTGATGGGTCATGAGGCGGAATACTCTGTAGAGGCTTGTCAGGAGAATGATGCTAACACTAATATACGTATATATTTGTATCTTATATTCTCCCTGGTGATGGAGTGTGTTAAACGACAAATAAAGAGAACACAGATGGTGGAGTTGGTTTAAGTCATGTTTCTTCTATGAGATAAGTGCCTGTGTCCATGCTCATCTGAGGAGTAGACAGGACAGAGAACTGTGATGACCAAAAACAATCAGACCACTCTTTATCTCCTGTGTACATACAGGTGTGAGCTGTTTACAGGAAATAAACACCAGCAGCAGTGTGTCAGCATAAAATAGAAGGACTCCAAACAATCTGTCAAGGATTTTGAGCTTTAAAGAAATAACACATTAACAGTAGCAGCATATATATATATATATATATATGTGTGTGTGGGTGGTTTTATAATGTATATCCTCCTCTATCTTATTTTCTTGATCAAAAGGTAACAACATAGTAATAATTAGGGTTGTCTCTATACCATTTTTTTAACTTATAAGAATACTACAAGTATTTTCCTTAGAGTACTTCTCACTGCTACTATTTCTCCAGCTTTAGTTTCAGTTAATGAGCGATGAACCAGAAGTCAGTGTTACTGTATATGTGGAACAGATCAGAGAACATTCTTCAAACTCACACTGTCACCACATTAGACATTGTATCATTGAAACTATGGATAAATTAAATACAAATAATATGAAAGTAAATACACGCCATTTGCGTACAACTTAACATAAACATAACATTACATATGACCGTTTCCTGCTTTTCCTGTAAACAAAGCATCAGTTCAACTGTGTTCCAGTTAAACAAATGAACACATACAGGGTCGGGTTAATTAGAGGTGACATCAGTGTGTTTTCTTATTCCTCTGATATCCTCAGAGAACAGATCAGATTTACTGTAAAGTAAAGTTCTGCTCCTCTCTTTGTCCCTGATGGTAGACGAAACTCCAAAGTGCTGACATCGTTGACCTACTTTAATAAACTACCCATGAGGGCAGTGAAGTGCAAGAAGGAAACACACAACAGTGGCTGACCAGTGAAACGGTATATAGAGTCACTGGATCAGTCCATGTTTCAAATCTCTATTGTTTTGCAGCTTGGTGCAAACGTCACAGGAGTGAACTTTGGAGTTGACCTTTTTTGCTGCTCCTCTCAAAATCAAATCCTCAAATTCAATCAATTCTACAGCCCTAGCATGAGTATTCGTCCCGATACTAGCATCGGTATCGGTGCATCACTCGTAAAAATATCAACAAAAACCCGGAGTATTTTGCTGATGTGTTTGTTGATTATTTCTGAAATGACAGGGGTCTCCTTTTCCTGTTGCCCTACTGCCGCACCGTGACGTCCCAGGAGAACTTCCTGTGATCTCTTATTCATTCTTACTGTTTAACACTTGAGGAAGTCTTCCATCTGCTCAGATGAAACAATAAAGGGAAGTGAGTCTGGTTTTGGGGACGGAGAGTCAGGTTTTGCATCCATAGATAGAGCTCTATCTTTAGCAGGTCAACAGAAACTCAACAGGATGTTGTTTTACTTCAGCTGTTGGACTTCATTCACTCGATGAGCAAACCAGAGAAAACAGGGTATTGTATGGGAGGCAGGTATGTGGGAGCAAGACAAAACAAAGTAGATGTTAATATACTGTATGAATATATGTATGGACTGTAACAAATACTGTGTATACGGACACAACTGCAGTGTTGTAGCGGTGTTTACATTAACTATAGCCTCCATTATTAGGGCCGTCTGCTTCAGCTGTAAGGAACTGGAACATTGGTCTGGCTGCAGACGTGCAGTTCTGATGTATATGTATGGATGGATGGCTGGATATATGTACAGTATGTGCGTATAATATATATATAAAGAGTTATATGTACAGTTGAACCTCGGTTTTTAAATTTAATTCGTTCCTTAATGTGATTCGCGAACCGAAAAGTTCAACAACTGAAACCATTTTCCCATAGGAATCAATGTAAAATGGACCTGGATGATCAATGATTCAAACTTCTTTAACAGTATTTTGTTTACAGGTTCATACACGAAACCAATGGAAATAATTAGATCTAACAACAAAGATAAACACAACTGAATAAAGGATAAAGCTATTAAAAGGAAAGACAATTTCATTCATCCTTACTGGAGCTGAGGAGTCGGGATTGGAAAAACAGTTCTTAGCGTGTATATCCCGAGCACGGACAGGCACTACACACTCAGTCACTCAGTGATCACTTGCTGCATACGTGGTATTGTCTCTTGTTCGGCAACCGAGTTATGGTACGACAACCAGGGCAATTTTTGGTTCAAAATTTAGTATGTCAAAAAGGTTCGTCAACCGTGGTTCCACCGTATATGTATACAATTTCACGTTCTGGAAAAACAATAACATAAATGTCACATATTCCTTTAACAACAGGGCATAGCAGTATAAAGGGTTAGCAGTGTAACGTCTGTATTGAAGTGCATCTGAAGTTAATTGTTTACACGCTGGTGTCTAACAAGCACAAAGCTGTAGGTTGCTTCATTAACCACTTCCAGGAATCTAGGGAAATTGCCGGCAGAGATGCCGCTCGGAGGATGTCTTTCCAGCACATCATCTTGGTGTGGGGTCATTAATGCCAGCAGTGCTGCGTTATACAGGAAAGCGAAAATACTTTACAGGGTATTTATATAGGGCAGGGTGGACTTTGATATTAGCAGGTGTCTGTTTTTAATCTAGCCGTGATATTAACCATGTGGTCTCCATAGTAACTGAAGATGAAGGACGACTGAGAACGCCCTTAAGTTCTTTTATCTGATTTACAGTTTCTTTCATGTCAATAATGACAAATTAAAGAACGCGGTTATCACTCGAAATATTCAATCAACTAGGTTTGCTCACATTTAAATAGATAAATACAGTACTGCCGAGTACAAACACAACCTGTCATTAAATGTGTACTGAATGTTAAGGTGAGTAAAGCCTGGCCAGATTCAGAGAAACTGACCAGTGACATGAGAGCGTCCGGTTCTCTGTGTTAGCGTGAGTGAAATCGACTAAAGCACAGTCTCAGGGAACATCGAGTCAAGTTGGAACGCGCTCAAAAAAATCCCAAATCTGGCGGCCGCTCTTGGACCAGAGCCATCTAATCTTCTGTCCCTCCTGCGCCAGCACCGTTTGGAATATTCCAGCACTCCAGTGGCAATTGGTAACCTTAGAAGAATTAACAAGTGTCGTGTTAGCAAAACCAAAGTTGGGATGCGACAGTTGATAAGGATCAAGCGCCGACCTGCGTGTAGATCAATGAATAATGAGTCTGCGTCAATTCACTACATTGGAATTTAGTTCCTATCATTCGCAGTGAAAGACAAAAACACGGCAGGTGCCGTATGTTGTCCCACTGCTCCGCTTAGTTGCGGTTCCCCAATATTACACATGCACGCACAGCGTTTGTTTTATAAATAACCTGACATTATCTCATAGTTTTTTGACACAAACACTGTTCCGAAATAAGATTCTCTTTTTCTAAGAGAAAATAAGAATAAGGACTTTAAAGATAAAGAAAGAAGAAATTAGACAAAATAGGAAAGGAATAGAGGGGGAGGAGTGGAGACTGACTTTCATGTTCTTTGAGGATACATCATGGAACCCAACAGTGAAACTAATTGCAGTATCGGGGTGTATTTCAAGAAGCCTATCTGTATTTTGTAATCGTTCCTCTGAGCTCATTTCATATCAGAACATTCATACAGTAGTAGACTTTGATCAGTCGACCTCTGTTTCTGTTGTCAGGCAGAATCTTTCCTCCAACCCTGAACGTTCATACCAAATCATTTACCAGGCAGATATAGCATTTAATTCAGACTTCTTATCCGTTAGTTATCATTTAAAAGGAGCGTCTTCTCAACAACACATCCATAACCTAAACATATACAGCGTCAGCCTCAACTTTTCCACAGTTTTGTGCAACTTATCTGGTACAGTTCCACCGGTCTGATGGACATGTCGTTTAAAACAGCCACTTATTTTGATCAAGCCACTCATGAAATAACATCACCCTGGACTGTCTTTCAAACTCCGTTGGGCGACAGGCGTTTGACATTTCGAGGATGAGCCAGCATTGATTTGTTGGCAGCTGGGGAACAACAGACACCGTTAGAACGGTCTCCCTCTGTTAAACACCATTGGTCATAATGGCCATCAGCATGATTTAGCCTCAGCCTGCTCCGACGTGCTGCTCTGCCTTTCCTGACAATGACAGGATCACGCACTTAATACGTAACCTGATGTTGTTAAAGGACAGGATGACGAACGACGCAGTGAAATAATGCCACATCCGCTGTGATTAAATATGACGCTATGTGGATCAGTAATGGTTAGCAATGGTTATACAAATTCAGTATTTGGCAACACAGTTTAACAACAATAATGCTAGCTTGTCTTAGGTCTGAACCGTAGCTGTACAGGCGGTCCTTGGTTTATGACGTCCTCGACCTACGGTGTTTT